TAACATCGTGCTCATAAAGCAAATCTGCATTTCAGAATCTTTCATCGAGGAGATTCTCCGGCCAAAAAGAAAATGATTCATTGATTATGAGCAAAATGAGAAAATCAGGATGGATATAGAGCATATCACTCAAAACCCGGCATTGACTTAATGACATGAGTGGTGTATTAATCAGAAGTGTAGTTCGAGGCAGCGGTGCAGATTTGTGTAGTGACTCGGCAATGTTTTTCTGTACGAGGACGATTGGGATGAAGGATTTGTACATTTGCTTATCTCCATATCCATATCATACTTAAAATAACGGTGGGCCATATGAAAAAAAATAGTCATGATATTTGTAGACATTTCTATTATACACAGTATGTGTCATGATATATATATATATAGACTTGATAACAAACTAGCCAGAAAAAGAGTAGTGTTGCATTTAAAACTAGTCTTTTAAAAAATAAGTCTATGCAGGCAGACACCAAGGCCAGGTTGGAAAGTAAACTAAATAAAATCATTTCCACAATTAGTAAAATATATTTGTGTTTTATTAAAGAAGGGATGTCGAACAGTGTTTCCAATTCCACCACAAACACACACACATACACTCTATGGCCAAAAGTATGTGTACCCCTGACCATCACACACATATGTGGTTCTTCCCCAAACTGTTGCCACAAAGTTAGAAGCACACAATTGTATAGAATGTGTTTGTATGCTGTAGCATTACAATTTCCCTTCACTGGAACTAAGAGGTGCAAATCTGTTCCAGCATGACAGTGTCCCTGTGCACAAAGCGAGCTCCATGAAGACATGGTGTGTGAAGGTTGGAGTGGAAGAACTCGAGTGTCCTGCACAGAGCCCTGACCTCAACCCCACTGAACACCTTTGGGATGAAGTGGAAAGCCGACTGCACCCCATAGAAATGTTACGCATTATGCAACAACACAAAAAAACTCTCAGCATAAAATAATTTTATTATTTCATTTTCATTCAGTTTAATAAGAGGTCATATTTATTAACATAATTTCCAATCAAGTTCATTTAATTATTAGGAAAAGTACCATTTCTATTCTGATCTTGTAGCATGCTGGCTGAACAGTATCGTGCTAGTGGTGGTTTTGAGGTTAACCTTCGTGTTCTTTCAAAATAATGACCCTGTTATCAAAGGCAGTTGAAGAAACGCTGCTGTATGATTCATGTATTAAATTATTATGGGGAAAACCAGCCAATCCTTAATTTCGCTCTCAGTATTCCATCCAGCACTGTAATTTCACACACACCACGACATCACATTGTGAGTGATGTCAGAGTCCACTATCAAGAACATTTTATAGATGAATACAGTTTTATATTTGTTTTCTGTTTTATAAATAACTGAAAGAAGAAAGAATGGTAATGCATTTAAGAGCTACCTGAGCAAAAATCAAGTGATGGTCAGTTTTAGGTAATGTGCTCTTGAATAATAAGTATCAACTTATCTCACATATCACATATCTCATATTTATAATGAAACAGGAACAGTTGTGAGATCAGATTTGTCTTCTCGCCTCTGCACATCACCGGATGTTCAGTGACTTGTATTATAGATGACACAGATAGAGCATCCTCATGAGTTCCACCTGTTCTTTCCCTGGGGATGATCTTCTCTTTCGTCTCCTCTTTAGTTACACCTACCTACTCTCTCAATCTCTCTCAATCTCTCTCTCTCTCTCTCTCTCTCTCTCTCTCGCTCCCTCGCACATCTGAGATTAAAAGATTCACTATCTTTTAATAGATTCACTATACAGCAGTGATGGCTTTGTGCGTAAAGTTCTGTACTAGTGACTGGAAGGTTATGATTTTAAATCCCAGGACTTGAGCCTTGAGCAAGGCCCATAGCTTCTACCTGCTCTGTTTAAGCTTAGACTGGATTCTAACTCACATTAGTCTCTTTGAATAAAAATGGGTGCCAAAGGAACGAAAAATAAGCCAGATTTACTGAGTCAGAACTCAGAAAGAATGGGATGACGAAAACAAACTCAAAGAAAGAGAGAAAAAAGACAGAAAAAGAGAGAGAGAGAGTTCCCTTGTCCATAAAGGAGCACTGATATGAAGGACCAGAGGGCAAACGCTCCCTGATAGATGGTCCAATAAGATGTAAGATTGTTCATCCATGAAGGGGCACATCAGTCCTCACCCCTCACACACACTCAGAGAGCTGTCATTGAGAAAACAGACTTGGACCCGTTTGCACAACTTGAACACTTGTATGCCTAAGGCACTCACAGACACAGCGGCATCACTGAAAGGGGAACTGAGGTGGTGGGGGACCTCACAGAGATTGAATTTGAACAGAGCCAAGAAATTGGTTGTTCACCAATGCACACAGACCTCTTTTTGGCTATTTGCCAACTTGGACACCCACGAAGCTTACACAAGGGTCTTTCTTGGCAACTTGACCACATACATATGGACCTCTCTTGGCAACTTGACCACCTGTGCACCTAGGACAACACACCAAAACCCTCTTGGCAACCCAACCACTAGTGCACAGAGGGCATCTACACAAAGATCCCATTAGTAGCTTGTCACTTGGGTACCTAAGGGCCTAAATATATGTCCTTTTTTTATTTATCACATGTGAACCAAGGACACTGCCCCTTTTGGCAGCCTGACCACTAGTACACCTAGGACACCTACACACAGATTCCTATTAGCCTGACTACTTGAGTACCTAGGGCTTACACATAGATGCCTCTTGCTAACTTGATCTTTTGTGCACCTTTGGTACTACTCCTTTTGGCAACTTGACAACACACACTTACATATGGGCCCCTTTTGGCAATCTGAACACTCATCCACCATGCGACACCTTTATATCTTGAGTGCCTCTTGGCAACTTGAATACAAGTATCTCATGGGATCTCTAGTAGTAACCTGGCCACTTGTGTATCTGGGGCATACACATTGAGTCCTCTTGGCACCTTGACCACTAGTACACCTAGGGCACGTGCACACACATATTCTGATTAGTAGCTCAGACACTTGGGTACTTAGAGAATAAATACCATATATATGCCTTTTGGTAAGTTGATCACTTGTGAACCAAGGGCACTACCCCATTAACAATTTGACCACTTGTGTGTAAAGCGCACTTACATACGGGCGCCTTTTGCCAATTTGACCACTACTGCACCTAGGGCATCTACAGACAGAGCCCCATTAGTAGCTTGACTACTTGGGTACCTAGAGTATACATATACTGTATATGCCTCTTGCCCCTTTTGGCAACTTGATCATCTGTCCACCTGGGGCAACACACACATTACCTTTATACCATGAGTGTCTCTTGGCACCTAGACCATCTCTAGGGCACACAATTTCTTTTTTGTATGATGGCTTGTGCATCTACAGCTCCAGACTGGAACCCTTCTTGGAACCCTGACCACTCTTGTACCTAGAACTCCTACAGACAGATCCCTATTAGTAGGCTGGGTACCTAGGACATAAATATATGTATACTGTATGTCTTTTGGTAACTTGATCATCTGTGCACCTGCAGCACTGCACCTTTTGGCAAAGTGACAATGTCTGCACAAAAAAAAATTACATATGAGCCCCTTTTGGCAACTTGACCACTTGTGCACCTAGGGCATCCACACGAAAATCCCTATTAATAGCCTGATCACTATTAATGACCTTGGTAACTTGATCACTCCTGTACCTAATGCACTAATCTTTTAGCAACTCGAATACTTGCACATCTATGGCACTGAACTGGAACATTTCTTGGCAACTTTACCACAACTGCACTTAGGGTACACACACATGGATCCCTTTTGGCAATTTCACCACTGGTGCACCTAGAGTACCTATACAAAGATCACTATTAGTAAATTGGCAACTTGGGTATCTAGGGCATACATGTGATTGCCTCCTGGCAGCTTGGCCAGTTGTGCATCTAGGGCATACACCCCAACTCCTCCTGGCAGTCTTACCACTTCTGCATCTACAGCACACGAAAATATCCCCTTGTGGTCCATAATAATGACATATTATGATTTATACAGGGTGAAATTATCATTTCTTCTAAAGTCTTGGCTATGAAAAAATTCAGAAGCAAAGTTGAATGGATGGAAATCTGACAAAAAGCATATGATTAAGGGAGTGTGTGTTTTTTGACTGGTTACGCAAAGGAAAAGTGAATTTGTCTGAAAATGTTGCTTCTAGTACACATCCAAAAGCAAAGTGATTTCCCTCAACAGCCCTACAGCAATTGAGTGACTCAGACACGCTCATAATGGCCACACACACAGCATGCACTCATTTTCTTCCATTCTGCGTTTAAGCACCTGGTCCTCACACACTCTCTGCCCCCCACCTGCTTTGCATCATCTTTGATGTTTTGATCAGCAGGAGAATAGGATTGTACAAGATAGAGGAATTAAAAAGGAGAGAGAACATGCTGACATTAACACACAACGACTAGTATAGAAGAGTGCAACTTCTCTGCAGTGAACTAGATTTTTATATTTATTCTCAGAATGGATGCAAGATCAAGTGTCGCAGTTTGTGATGCTATATGTGCATGATGATTGCACTGAGATTCTTCATAGTATAATTACATTAACACGTCCAGTGTGTAGGAGTTATGTGTGAAGGGACTCACTTATGGAAATTACAGGCTAATATACACTTTTTTACCTAAGCAAACACAAATGAGCAAACTAATAAAGACTGAAACAAAGTGATCACACTTTGGGACCGTGACGGTCTCCTATCGATCTATCCTTACTAAGCACTAACTGCTCTAATCAATGCTCATGCTATCAGCTAATAGGACCTTGGTGATCCTGTGTGGGGTAAGGTTCTGTAAGCAATTAGCTAGAGAGTCTCATGGCATTTTAGCTTGAATGTTAATTCAAATAGAGGAAGTGATGCTGTGTAGTCTATAATTCCATGTGGGAAAACTTCTGACTTTACACATAAACTTTTTGTTTACGAGATAATAGTGTCTGTTGTAATTTGGTTCCCTGGTGGACTAGTGGTTAGCATGCGGGACTCTCATCGCCGTCGTCTGGGTTTGATTCCTGGTTAGGGAACCGACCCCAGCCACTGGAGGATTGTACAAGTCAGTGCACTCTTGGTGCCGGTCCCAAGCCTAGAAATGGGGAGGGTTGCATCAAGAAGGGCACCTGGTGTAAAACTTGTGCCAGAAGCAAAAATATGTGGACAGGTGATCTGCTGTGGTGACCCTGAACCGGGGCAGCTGGGGAAAAAGGGGAAAAAAGTATCTGTTGTCATTTTCATTTAATATTAGCTTCCATTAGCATATTGCGGTGTATATACCCACCCACCCCTTGCAAGGCCTCTTTAGTCTTCTGCCATCGGGGAGGAGATTTCGCAGCCTCCAGGCCCAAACCACAAGACTGAAAAACAGCTTCAGCCACCAGGCTGTCAGAAAGCTGAACTCTCTCCCCTCTCTGCCCTCTGCCCTAAGAGTCACTGAACTGTAACCCCCCCAACGCGCACACACACACACACACCCCAAATCACACAAATGCACAAGCCACTTTTACTACTGTTGCTCTCTCTGTTGCACTACAGTGTAACCAGGTCCACTTCCACAACTGCTGCTCTCTCTTGTTTGCACTAAAATGTAAATATCTACACACTCACATGTGCCTTGAATGTCTATAGTGTGCATATTGTATTTTATTTTATTGTATTTTATTTTACTTTTTTTAATTACTTGTCTTGTTATGTTGGTGTCTCACACCATGGGTCTGAGGGAAACGAAATTTCAATCCTCTGTGTGTCCTGTACAGAATTGACAATAAAGTTTGACTTTGACTTTGACTTTGACTAAAGTCTTTCATATACTTAAATCAGTTGATGAAATTTGTCAGATGAAGGATAAACTCCTATTTTAGGATTTCCTTGGACACACTGCATGTTTATGTAGGCAGTTGACTCAGTTCTGAGTTTGGTTGGAAAAAATCTTCAAATAGCTCCCAAAATTCCGACTTGCATTTCCCAGTTGGAAGGTGAGAATTGGTGTTTTTCCCATATGAAAACGTGAATGCAGTATTAGAGCCACACAGTATATCGACTGTAACCCGTTACTGTGGTTTTAGAGTTGCGGTATATTTGACGAGGCTCTGATATGCAAATGAAGCATCTAACCAATCTTATTTTTTGTTTTTAAATTTAGCTCAAATAATGCAGGACAGTTTTGAACCATTAACATCAAAGTGTTTTTTTTTTAATGCACTAGTCATATTAGCAGTATAGTTAGAATATTGCCCATATTGTGCAGAGCTATTTTATGTGAAGTCAAGTTAAAGAAAAAGTTTGGTGAGAGATGACTTTATAAAATGTTTACCAAAAATGTAGTCAGTCATTTAAGACATGTTTGGTGTCTGAAGCTTGCTTTTTTATTTTTTTTGTACTAGAGCTAATGCAGCTAACAAGTAATGGAAGTCTATATCACTGAAAATCCGTTTGGAAATACATGTCCAGTACTACGATTTTATAATCTCATCCTTTTTATTAAATATCTAAGAGGTAGATATCACATTGATACCACATTGAGCATCATATACAGTAAAGAAAGTGCAGCACAGCTGGGAAGCATTGCCACCTCACAGGCTCCATCCTGACTCGGGCTACAGTTCCCGTGTCCATTTGGGTTTCCTCCAGGTTCTCCATGTTTCTCCCACTTCTCCAACACATTCCAATAGGTAGACTTCCCTTAGCAACTCTAAAATTCCCCTAGGTGACTCATTAGGGCCCCTAATGAGTGTGTGAATGTGTGCATGGTGCCCTGTGATGGACCGGTGTCCCATCCAGGGTGTATTTCTGTCTTGCACAGTGTTCTTGGGATAGGCTCTGGATCCACTGCTACTGCCAAGCTGAAGATATAAGATCTTATATAAGATATAAGATAAAGATTCTGGTTGTCCAAGATGGCCGCCTCCATAACTTTTCAGAGTTCAGTTACCTGCCGAAGTTTAGTTTATAGATTGAAACAGGAAGTTCCATTGTGTCCTAAGCAATGTCAGCACTGAAGAACTGGACATGGACACTAAAGATTTTGTGAGAAAAAGACTTCTATTATGTGTTAGCAACATTAGCCTCGTAGCTCCAGTGCAAAACAAATGAAGCAAACTTTAGCCACTTGGTTGATTGCCTGCATTTGGAGTTAAGGGCAAAACTGTACATTTGATTTTCTTAAAGATACAAAAGCTTGGTAGCATTGAATGTCTGCTAGGCCTGGATGTACTTGGTGATTTCATCTGACTTGAGTGTGTAAGCTTGCGGTCATTGAGCTGTTGCAGTAGAAGTGCACTCTCAGCTCTTCAGGGAGCATTCAGCCGAGCCGAGGAATGACCACGACCCAAAATCAATAGCCACTGAAATAGAGTAATATGCTTTTGTGTGTGTGTGTGTGTGTGTGTGTAGAAACACTTTTGGACAGGATTTAAGCCTATTATTCAAAGCTAGTGTGTGTATGAGTGTGTTTCCTCGAGAGGAGGCCACACACACAAGATGATGCATGTCATATTTGGTTCATTGACATCGATTCTCGCGGAAACAATCCAAGCTAATAATCATCACTTTACACAAAAAAACTCACAAAATGAGCACCAAGGCTTTGGACCAATCATGTCGAATATGCAAATTATTAATATGACCTATGCATGGAAGGTTTTAAATTATATTATTCAAATTAAATTACATTAATTATTAGAAATTATTAATGCAAATTATTAAAGAATGACGGATACCTGGAAGTTTTAAAATAAAATTATTTCAATTCAATTTAATTCTATTATATATTTAAAATTATTTTCACAAATTATTAAATAGTTCTGGATATCTGGAAGTTTTTATTTTCAGAACCTGCATGCTAAGCTAGCTATCTAACGTAATTAACATTATTGATAAACAAAATCTTACTTGTTACACTAAAGTTGTATTTCAGTGACTGCTGTTAAATAAAGCACTTGCTGTTAGCCACATCATGACGCTCATGAATATTCATAAATCCGGCGAAGGATACATTTTTGAGATGTTCCTGTGCAATTTTTATGAGTTTCTTTGATACCATTAAAAAAAAAAGAAAAAGAATTAAAAATGTATTATTCTACAGAGATTTTAATGTCGTTAAAAAGAGAGAAAAAAGGAAAGCGATTGCTCCTCTCTGTCTCTGTGTCTGTCTCTCTTTCTCTCTTTTGCTATTACATAATAACGTAACAAACTTTCCTGTAAGCAAGGCGCTATAGAAAGACTGCATGTTCCTGAGAACAGACAAAAAAAGAACCTGAGAAAAGAGAAAAGCTAATTATCGCTGCTGACTAGCGCTGTTCACACTGCGCCACATGAGTACGAATCGTGCGAGCGCACGAGGCTAATATGCAAATGCTGGAGTTAATTACGGAGCCCAAACGAACGAGCGAGCCCAAACCTTTCTCTCGCAGATAAAGACAGAGCAGACTGAGTGATTTGAGCTTTAACGCAGGAGCTAGACAAGGCGCAGACGGCTCGCTCTCGCGTCGCTAAGCTCGGCTGCCGGAAGCGAGCGTCTATCTTCTGCATTTGAGATGTCGTTTACGTCGTGTTTTTGTCAACGAGAGAATTACTGAGTTGCTTTTGTGTTTGTGTGAATGTGTGTGTGGATTCGTGTGCATGAGCGAGATAAAGACAGGACAATGCTACAAAAGCTGCTTTTGTAGCACGCGGGGTTTAGGAGAATTCTCTCGGACGCGACTCTCGGGTGAATTCACGCTCTTTCTCTCTTTTCACAGACTGGAGAAGAGTTAATCAAGCTATTGGCTGAGCTTTTCAGAGATGTATAGCTGAGAACAGGGAGAGATTGCCCAGATTAAACGAGTCATTTTTTCCCCTCTTTTCAGGGCTGTCTTTTCCAGTTAAGTGTGTGTGTGTGTGTGTGTGCATGTTTTACATCTTGGTGGGCCCCAAAGTTACCACATGGATAGGAATATCTGACAGGTTTGCCATTGTGGGGACATTTGCCTGGTCCCCGTGAGGAAAACTGCATGTTTTCAACTTTATTTGTTCCTGAGGTTAAAATTAGGGTTAGATTTAAGTTTAGCATAGTATTAATTAGCTGCATTAATAATTATGTTAATGGAAGGTCCTCACTAGAATAGTAAGATAAATGTGTGTGTGTGTGTGTGTGTTGTGAGGACCAGAAAGGACTAAATATCTTCAGATATTAAATACTGATTTTATAAAAACTGCAGCTTTCAGTTAAAAATCTAACTAAATCTAAAAATCCTGTTAATTAATGAAGTTATATAAGTATGGATGAATATACACAGACCAGACTGTTATAGGAAAAATAACACACCCCGGGGACAAAGCGGAGCATGTTATTCCACTTATACCTCAGTGATTTGTCAACGATTACGAAGTTTAATTTATTAATGAACAACACGTCACACTTTTTCATGGTTTATAGTTAGATTTAATGCTGTGGAACATCCAAAAGACAAGTTAGTTCCTGATCTCACTTACGTTATAACAGCTCTAAACACTCACATATAGTTCCCTCACTCACATATCCTTCTATCTCTCTCCCTCTCTCTCTCTCTCTCCCTCTCTCTCTCTCTCTCTTTCAAAAAACACAACTTGTCATTTTACTGAGAAACCAGTATTCTGTCCTGAACACTATCCTTTTTTCTCTTTTCTTTGTTAAACAACAGGTTTTTTAAATGCGGTTATTATTCGGTGTAGATTATGCGGAGCAACCGCCGACTAAGTCCCTGTGAATGAGCTGTTACTATAGAAACAATAATGTATTAAAACGAGCGCATTAATATAAACCTGTCGTTCATGTTACAGTTGGAGCTACAGTCCGAGCTGTGCACTTATACAAAAATAATGCACAGCTTCTGACCAATCAGAATCGAGAATGCAACCGTGCCGTGGTATAAATTCATATATCGTGACCTTAGTATTACAAGGTTCCCTCATATATGAATTGTAGATAGAACTTTACAGTACTAAAGTAATGATAGATATACAAAAATGTTTTGGTTTTTTTTACAATATATTTATAATAACATTTCGTGAA